ATTAATTATAAGCTTAATTTTATTTTAATCTAAAAAATTTATTTTTTTTAAATGATTTATAAACTTTAAAAATATTTCAAAATAGTCTAACAGTATAAAATTTTGTCAGATTTAATAGAAATAGTAGTCTTTTAAGTTTTGAAAAAATAACACTATAATCTTAATAAAATATAATGACTTAAGAAATATTTTATAAAGATAAATTAGTTAAAATTTGTAATAAACTTAAGCAATTAGTCTGTTTTACAAGACAAATTATATGCAATCTGTCCTGAAAAATTATTAAAATATTTTTTTAAAAATAATATAAAAATAAAATTAAGGACATTTAAATAATTTTATAGGATAGAGTGCAAATAGTCTGCTCTATAAAATAGTTTTCTGAAAAACACATTTAGCAAGATAAGATTCAAAACTATTTTTATGATGAATATAAATTTAAGAATTAAAAGATCAAAATAATATAGTTAAAGGACTAAATATTTTTTTAGAGAATAAAAAGATTTTACCATAATGGACATTTCTGTTAAAAATAATGAATTAGATAAAATTGAAATAAATATGAAAGATAATAAATATGATTAAAAGAATTCAAAAATAATAGATGAAATTAAAAATATTATGAAAGTTAATAAATAATTTATTAAATTAACCTACTTTTCACCTAGTCTATGGACGAATTGCTGACGTAATCCATTGGACAATGACTATTTGGCCTCTAACGATAAGTTTGAGGGTGAGTTAGTGCGTGAATTTAGTTGAGAGGGTAATTTGTCACTGCCCATAAAAGATGAGGGGTTAATCTATATGTTTTGCCTTTTTGCTCAGAGCTGGGTAATGGGCCTAATGGCACGTGCGAGGCCTGAGGGGATAAGTAATCTTGGGTTGGGTCGACTAAGATACTGGCTCTCTCAGGTACGGGATGGATATGTTATTAGCTCAACCAAACACAACTGAATATTTTTTTATACATCTATAATTTTTATTGAATATTTTTATTTAATAAAAATTTATATTTAAAAAATTTTTAAAATTAAAAATTTAAATATAATTATTAAATTTGAAAAGAAAAAATAATTTATAAACTGATTTTAATCTATTAA